ACATCACTGTTGGCGTTCATTCTGTGTTCTAGTTTCAAGGAATAAGTTATTCCTGTGGCTAATTATATTAAAAGACGTTAGATGCCTGTTAGGTCTGGTAAGCAGTCTACCTTTCCTTCCTTCCTATTCTGTTGACTCTCTTTCACTGTAATTTAATTGGACTAGAGGTAAAGTTAGGAAATTTTTTAAGTATAAAAATGAGAGTAACCTAAGTTACATGCTTTTTACATTATACTGTGCATATTTAAATTCTGTCAGCAACATTGCATAGTATTCGCATGCATGTGTTCACATTGTGTAAACATGTGAATTGATCTGTCCCTGGTCTTTCTCATTCAGCACTGTTTGGGGGATTTATCAATATTGATACATGTGGCATCTGGTAATAATCTTAACAGCTATCTGGCATCCCATTTTGTACTAAAGTTTTAAAAAATTCTAGTCTTCCACTTGCTTTTTTATTTCAGATAATTTATGATTTTTTTGACACATAGTTTCTACATTTACAACATGGGTTTACTCTGGGAGGGGTTGAATGATGTTTTTTATATTAAAACTATTCTTCCCTACCCCAAGTTCATAAATCTATTTTCTAATATTTCTTCTGTATGTTTTTAAACTATTATTTTTCTTTTAGCTCTTTAGTCTACCAAGAGTTTTTCTATGAATAGTGTTGTGAGATGAAAAATGCATGAATAGCCAGTTGGCCCAGAGGTAGTTACTAAAAAGCTTATCCTTTGCATGGCAGTTTGAAATATTCGTTTTCTGATTTACATCGGCCTCCACTCTGTTTTCCATAATATTCAAGCACAGAAAAGCAATGTGAAGTGTTGAGCAAAAATATCTTAGATACTCTGAGCTTGAAGTTGATGCTGGATTTGAATAGTGTGCATACGTTTTGACTCTAACACCAATCCATGCCTGTGTGTGTAGCTCCAGCTGACACTCTCCTGACATGGAAATTTGTATTAACTTCAGGTTACCAATACTGTTGAAGAATACTGAAAATATATTTTAATTCCTTAAAAAATTTAAACTATGTTAAAAATTTTTATTTGTGTAGGGAGCAGTTAAGAGCACTGACTACTCTTGCAGAGGACCTGGGTTCAGTTCCCAGCACCTACATGGTGTCTAACAAATGTCCATAACTCCAGTTCCAGGGGCTCTGATGCCCTCTTTTGACTGCCACAGACATTGTATGACACTGGTACACTTACATACATGTAGGCAATACACTCATACACATAAAATAAAAATAATAAACTAAATACTTATTAAAAATTATTTTTTTGTGTGTATACATGTATGTGTACATGCCATCACATGCATGTGGAGGTCAGAGGACAACTTTTGGAGCTAGTTCTCTCTATGTGGGGTGGGTCCTGGGGATCAAACTCAGGTCATCATACTTGGCACTAGGCACTTTCACCCACTGACCCATCTTGCCTGCCCTAAGTATGTACATTTAAATAAACAAGTAATATGAAAAAGGTCTTCACAATGGCATTGACTAATGTACTCTATTACTTGGGGTTCAACCAATAATCATATGGAGGCTAAATCCCCAATTCATCAATGAAGCCATAGACTAAAGTATAGACTGCTGACAGCAGAATCAGCTCATAAGTCATTGTTTGTCAAAGGTCTGGTGCTCCTGGCCAATGTAACAAGATACTGTGTGTGCACCCGAGGCCAGTTACACTAAGGTTGTGCAGTCATGTAGAAAGGCCTTGCTGTGTACCTACAGTTTCGCTTAATTGTGGAACTTTTAAAACAAGGAGAATAAGCTTGCCTCAAAGTTAAGATGTTTAAATTAAAAACTAGAAAGAAGTAAAATCATTTTCTTTGAAGATGTGATTTATTTAGCTGAAGAATCCACATAGAAACTGCTCACTGTAGTCTTCAGGTCCAGGGGCTTTTGGAAACATCTGTTGTACTTGGTGTCTTGTGGACCTAATTGGTGTGACATCTTTAGCCTCACATGTGGTTGTCGCTAGCTTGGAGTCTACTCAGGGCGAGGTGGGCTGATCATTCCCTCCTTATTGTTCATCAGTCCCAAGCAGATGTTTGTGTATGAACCAGACAGAGAGCATGTAAATACTACAGTCATGCAGAGAACACCATGAAGGAGATGTCCTCGTTGTTTTATTAATTTTATTAATTTTATTTTTTTATATGTATGAGTGTTATGTCTGCATGTATGTAAGTGTATCCATGTCATGCATTGCCTGCAGAGGTCAGAAGGCATCGGATTCCCCTGGAACTAGAGTTACGGATGGTTGTTAGCTGCCATGTGGGTGCTGGGAATCGAACCTGGGTCCTCTAAACAGTCAGTGCTCCTGACTGTGGAGCCATCACTCCAGCCCCCAAAGGAGATGCCCTTGTAAACATTTCATGATACTGTGTGTCAGTAGGACACATCAGTGTACAAAATAAAGATGTGATGAAGGTGGTCAAATGTAATAAATTTTTTTCAGGTTTTTCAATCAAATACCATCTTGGAGGCAATGCATGTGGTAGACAGGAAGATAAATATGTGTGTGTGTGTGTGTGTGTGCACGCACGCGCACGTACATATACACATCATGTGTATATGCCTATATATACTATATATACATACTTATAGATGTATGTGTACATGCCTAATTTGTATACGTACATACATCTAAATAGGTATCCACAAAAGATAGTAAGTGTATAAAATCATTCTTCATACTTCTTGTACTTAACATTATCTTCTGTTTCATATCTTGGCAAACTCTTAAGTAAAAGAAAGGGGTCACAGAAGAGAGAAAGGCATCTTGTTGAAGCCAGTAGAATTTAGCATGAGGCTATCTTAACCTGTACTGAGAAGTAGTTCCAGTTTTATAAATAGCATGTTGATAGGTGGCTGAAGTGTTCTGATGTTATACCTTGCTCTCTGTCTCATGCAAGGAGGGCATCTGAACGGAGAACAAGCTCAAGGGGAGGACAAGGCACAGAGAGGCAGGACATCTTTCTTCTTAAGTGCTAGAAAGCTGTCTGTATCCAGGCAGTAAGCTTTTAGGGAAGGAAAGAAAATGGCAGTGGATGAAATTGTTTATGATTGTGAGGACTCACTATGTGCCATGCAGTCTGCAAAGAACTTTGTACATGTTTTGTGATTCAGTGTTCATGAAACTCTGTGATGGCCAGCATCACTAGGGCTGCAGTGTAACTGGTAATATCACAGCACAGGGGGTTCAAGCCATGCTAGGGTTCTGTGGACTTCATAAGAAAAGTGGACCCACCTGCATTTCAAATTTTGAAATTTTACAGGAAGTAAATTTGTAATTTTTGCTTTGTTCTAGTCAATTTTATTATTTTATTTTATTTTTTGTCTCATAATCCTGAACACCATCTTGAGGAGTGGGTCATGTTGAACACAAAAGCATTTACATTCTGTGACTTCTAATTAAGACCTCTCAGTTTATAAGAGTGTCTCTGACTGTGGGAGGAAATTGCAGTTTCAACTTCTGGTGTGCTAAACCTCAGTTCTAAAGGGAACCCAAAGAGAGAATGTGAACACAGAAGAGCCCGCTGTTCCTGCTTTGGATTAGCCTTCTCTGGAAGGACTAATCATTGACATGATCTGTGAGTTGTACCACATATCTACCACAGGTGCCTCAGGGACTTGCGAGTGTGGGAGTACTGGGGTTCAAGTCTCATCCGTAAGCCCTCCCAGAAGAGCCCATGTGTCCAGCTAGATAGTGTGATTGTGATGATCGTAACTTAACATTCCGCATTCAGAATTCATTTGAAGAGAACCCGCTAAAAGAATCAGTAAAACAAACAAATAAACCAAAACCCACCTCTGAGACTGCTGCTTTAGAGATGGCCCTGTTTACTTCTAGCCACTTTTTGTATACTTCAGTGTTATAATTTCATAGCAACCTCTGACATGAAAAACATCAAAAAAGTCTAGACTTCTCTAGAAGGTGTTTGATACAGTATTGAATAAAACAAAACAATGCCTTTACAAATACCAAGAGAAGCTGCGTTTCGCCTAGAAGGTTTCTTTATCTTTCCACTATCACGGGACCAGTTTGGAATTCCTGCTACGGCAGTTCTGGTTTCGGAGCCTGTTGGTGTTCCTCCCCGGGTTTCCTATCCTAACTTATCTTATTTATCTTTCATGTGGACCTAATTAATCACTTCTTATAGTTACTGTGTGGTTAGGTTGTGCATCATAACAACCAAATACATTAATTAGTAAATACAAGGCTTTGACATAAAAACATTGTTGTGTGTTAAATGTGCAGTGTTAAAAATAGTGCTGACTCTCAAACTCAGAGAGTTCTTTCTTGCATTTAATATCTTTATCTTTTCTTCCTTTTTTGTGAACCATCACAAACTTTTTTCTCAAGGCCATGGCTATAGTATGTGTCTTGTGCAATTGTCGATAGAGCGGGAACATTCTCTCCAGAGTAGTTCCACTGGACACACACACTATGTGAGATATTTTTATCTGTTGCCTATTTACCATGCTTAAATATGTATTCCTACAATATTTACAACCACTCATCAAAGAGTTAGAAATCTTTGTCTGAATCAAAAATAAACAGACAGGCAGTTAGAGTAATTGTATTATATATATATATAGGTTAGAACTCAGTTTCTTGTTTTTTTAAAAATTTTTTTGTATTTTATTTATTTTTATTTTATGTGTATGTGTGTATTGCTTGCACGTAGGTAAGTGCACCCGTGTCATGCAATGCCCGAGGAGGACAGAAGAGGCTGTTGGATCCCCTGGAACTGGAGTTATAGACAGTTGTTAGCTGCCATGTGGGTGCTGGGATTTGAACCCGGACCTTCTGCAAGAACAGCCAGTGCACTTAATCGCTGAGCCACCTCTCCAGCCCCCAGTTTCTTATTTTTTAAATTCAAGTTTTGGAATGGTTTTGATTAACTTGTTTATTTTCCATAGAGATTTCAAGCTTATATTTGAGCTCAGAGACAAAGAATTTTTTTTCTTCTTCCAGACAAGACTAAACTCTACATCTCCCTTCCCAATCCAGCCACTGGCTGAAGCCACCAAAATGTTGCTGGACAGCCTGGGGAGTCTGGCCCAAGAGGTAAGTTGTGTCAGCTAGGTGACAGGTCAGCCACTACTGCTTACTTTAGGTCTGAGTTTTGTTAACATGGTCCTTCTACTGTGAATAGCAGATGAGATGTAATATCATTAGAAGCATATGCATTATTAGGTGTAATGTCATTATTAGAGCTTTGTCAACAAGGTCCTTCTACTGTGAATAGCACATGAGTTGTAAGATTATTGGAAGCATATACATTATTAGATGTAATATCATTATTAGAGTTTTGTTAACAGTGTCCTACTTTGAATAGCACATGAGATGTAAGATCATTATTAGAAATAATTAAGAAAAAGATCTGTTTTGATCTTTTTTAGAGAAGAAACTAAGACTCATTGGTTCTCCGAGCTAATTAGTGGCTTAAGGCCCCGCCTCTAGTCTAGACTTTTCTCCATGGGTTCTTCCTGCCCCTAGGTAATCACACATTAGTAAAGGAGAATTCTCTCTCTCACCCCCACCTCCCACCCCATGGTGTTAGTCTGATTAGCAACTTCTCCACTAGCAAGGCCATTCTATCATTTTATCAAAATAGGCAATTGCTAGCTGTCGGGAATGATGTAGGAAAGCTATTGGCAAAATGCAGCCTTTGAGGAATACAGTCTCCTAGTGAACACTGAATTGAGTTGGCCTTTGGGTCTATCTGTTGCCACACATGTCAGAGTAATCATTGTCCTGGCATCACAGGACCTGTATGTGTTTGCAAAGCAGTTAACCTTTCCCCTGACTGTGGTCATACACAAGGCAGACTGTAATGTACAGGACTCTGGAAGATAATAATTAGTGGGGAAATTTTCTCTGGTCCAGTCCTTACTGCTTTTTAAACTCGTTTTTCATGCTTGTATCATGTTTATCAACTATCCAAAAATTGTTTTGTTTTCTGACAATGAGAGTATTTCACATTCATCATGGAACATGCAGAACATTTGGAAAGCTCAGGAAACGCCAGGATTAAGCACTGTTGACACATCAGTGTGTGTATCTCTGTTCTGGTCTGTGTTTAATTCTGCCTGTGAGTTTACAACAGAAGAGGCCTGACTCTCAGGTTCCCCTTCAGGAGCAGGCCTCTTTCAGCCTGTTATTTGTTCCTCTGGCCCTGAAGGCAGGTGACCTTTGACTAGAGAAACTGGGCCAACCTCTGGAAAGAGGATAGAGAAGGAAAGAGAAACTGCAGTGCAAGTCCGTATGTATTTCTCCAGGGCCCTGTGAGCTGACATTGACATGCCATGTAGTGCTCTGGAAGGTTCCCTCCTAGCTCTACTTTCCGTTGTTCATTTCTGGCCTTGAAGAAAGAGGAGAGGCTCTACCTCTAAAAATGCAGATTTGTTTCAGCTCTTTTCTGTCACTGGCCCTGCTTTTTTTCAGGGTCTAAAAAAAATAATTGAAAATGCATGATGTTTCCATGACTGCTGTGAAAAGTCTCCAGCTGAATTATACACATTTTTTTTCTTGACTGCCTGTTTTAATCTGCTTGCTCCTGGTCTAGCGTGAGCAGTGGCCTCCTGCTTCTCTCCACAGAACACCTTCAGGTTACTTGATCACACATTACTCATTGCTATTTCTGAGAGATGAAAAGGAAATGCATTTTCTTGGCTGGTCTTTGGAAAGAAAGTTGTTTTGTTCAAAGTCCAGCTGTTGATAGGAAGAGACAAGGGAGCCAGCATTCCTGAGGAGCTGCGTTGGTGGGTTTTGGCAGTTCCACGACATTTCCTTGGACTGTCCTGACATGATGTACTTCTTTCTGTGCCCATTTCACGGTGGCATTGGGGCTCAGAAAACGTAGGCACCTTTCCCACAGTCATCTGGTGGGTTAATTGACCAAGGTGGAGCTTGAACTCAGGGTCTTTGAATCCTGAAGCTCTGTTCTGTTCTGCTTCTTCCAGTTATCTTTCACAAACTGTTGTGGTGACTGTGATAGAAAGGACGCCATCAGAGAAGATGGTGCATTGCCAGACTACAGTGCAGACGTGAGGATGAGGGAGAGCTGACATGAGCATCACATCTATGTGAAGGGAAGGGACACAGGACAGGAATGATAAAGCAGATAGGATGGTAACATGGAGGCATCTCTCGGACACTCACAAGGCACTGGCCAGGCATTGCTAGATGTGGGGACTCAGCAGTGAGCGCAGTGACTTGTGTGGCTCAGATGAGTGGAAGTCAAAAATAAACAGATCAGCATAGAAGGTGACAGCAGGGATGTGTGCAGTGAGGGAAAATAAAGTGGGGGGGGGAGAGAGAGAGAGAGAGAGAGAGAGAGAGAGAGAGAGAGAGAGAGAGCGAGAGCGAGCCATTTAAAGGGAATGATAAGTTGAACCTGAAGAAAATGATCACATGTCTCTAGAGAAGGAAGGGCATTTCAAGCAGGAAGAACAGCAGGTGCAAAGCGTCAATGCTAAGGTATACATATGTAAAGATGTGTTTAAGATCCATGAAGGAAGTCAGAGGAGCTAAATAAACAATTAGGAAGGTGGCTGGAGAGGAGAGAGAGGTGACCACCATATTGGTCTGGTCAGATTGAGTTTTCACTGAGATGACAATCTGTTGAGGCTTTGAAGCCTGGGGGACGTGATGTGACTCAGAGTTTTCAAAATGTCTATACTCTGGCTGTTGCACTGAGAAGAGATAAGTGGGGGTAAGGGAAGCTGAGAGCATTATAATGAATGGAGAATGAGAGTGAGTAGTCCGTTAATCCTCCCAGCACATGATGTGTAAATACAATTGCCTTTTCTGAGCTGGAGGGCCAGTGGCCATCTACAGAGGCAGTGTGCAGTGTGAGCTGAACTGTAGGAGAATGAGTGGCTCTTCCCTAAGGCGGGTGCTGGGAAGGGTCAGCTGTTTGGAATAAACAGTAAAGTGCTTAGGCACTTTCTCTATGAGGGAGAAATATTTGTGATACCCTGGAAAGCATAATCCTTGTTTGGAGGTAGAAGGCAAAGGTCAGGACTGGAAGTGTCCAAGACCATGTTACTCACATGAACCAGAAGGCTTAGGAGAGGTAGAAAAGTAGAGTTTTCCAAGGTGTGTGCAAGATCCTGCCACCTCTCCCTTCTGTTCTCCACGAAGTAGGAACATGCAGTGACATTTCAGGAAATGCAGAGATTTACTAATGATTTATTGTGAAATATATGAATATACAAAGTAGTCTAGAAAGTATTTAGTAATAAGGGCAAGCGGGCCAAGAACCCCACAAGATAGTGAGGCGGCACATTTGTATGTGAGACAAGATGCTGTGTCACTGACCTTAAGTTAAGATTACAGCTCCTGGCCGCTTGGGGCTCTAGATTCATCCTATTTGAGGCTGTTCAAGGCAGGGATCTCTCATGTGTGTCATGTGATTTACCATTCTCTTGTTTTAGTTATTTTGTCTTGATGAGAGTTGGCTTTTCTTGGGCTATGTAAACCAGCAGGAACATAGTCAGGACTCAAACTCAGATCCCCACTTTAGTTTTTTGTTTTTTTGTTTTTTCCATTATACCATTGACAGTCACACTAGAGATGCCACACCTTTCCCCTCAAGGGGAAGAAACTTCCTCAATTTCCACACTGATGTTGGAGATGCTTTGGAAATGAAATCAGGGATGAAGGCTGGGAGCAGCTCTTGCTTTACACCAATAGTCTTTACATCAATAATCAGACTTGGCTATTCAGAGAGTATTCTCTCCTGTTAGATTTTCCCAGTGAAATAAAGGACTGAACTCATTTCCAGGCTGGGCTTCTCCAGCGTTAATGGCCCTGGGAATTACCTGGGCATCTATTGAAGATGTAAGTATGAATCTGCATTTCAAACACTCACTCAGATGATGAAGATGTTGTAAGTCCCAGGACCACAGATGGAGAAAGAAGGCCCTGCTAAGCTATCACAGGGCTTCAGAATGATGTCAGATATAGTATGCTCTGGAACATAGCTTTTAGGAAGTTAAGAAAATAAAGTGTTTGTTTCTTTTCTCTGTGCCAACCCTTGCTTTATCCTTTGCCCCCTTTTCCTCCCCGTCCTGACCCCAGCTGTTCAGCACGAGGAGCTGGAGTGACATGCGGCAGGAGGTAATATTTCTGAACACCGTGAACAGCTCCAGCTCATCCACTCAGATATACCAGGCTGTGTCTCGCATTGTCTGTGGGCACCCGGAGGGTGGGGGGCTCAAGATCAAGTCTCTCAACTGGTACGAGGACAACAACTACAAAGCCCTCTTTGGAGGCAACAGCACTGACGACGATGCGGACACCTTCTACGACAATTCTACAAGTGAGTGTCTGTGCAAACCACAGCTTGGTCCCTATCTGTGTCTCAGGTCTAGCTTAGCAATGTCACATGCTTCTCCATGCTTCCCATTCTTCTGTATTTTAGCATCGGTCATTGTCCTGTCTGTTTGCTCCTGAGACATTGCTCTCTGAGGATAAGTGAATTGTTCACAGTTCGTTGAATGGGGGGCTTGGTAGGGGGGCTTGGTACATCTGAGGTGTACAATGCAGGAAATAAAGGAATGATTGAGAGCCAGTCTCCCTCAATTTTCTAGGGGATATTTTTCCTAGAGACACAAAGGATGAAACACTGGCAGTTAGACAAATCCTGTTTGATCTTACTTATAAATGGAATCTAAAAGAAAGAAAGAAAAAATAAACTCTCCAAAGCAGATTAGAAAAGAAGTTGCCAACAGCCAAGTGGGTGGTGGAGGACTGGGAAGTGTTGGTCAAAGGGTGCAAAATTTTGGTTATGCAAGATGAATGCACTCTGGAAATAGACTAAGTAACACAGTGAGTATTTCATCATAGCACTGTGCAGTGTCTGTAAACTTTGCTAAGAGAGTTAACTTAAATAATGTCACCATACAGACACACCAGACTATATAGGGTGATGGATATGCTAATTAGCTTGATTGGATTGTCTCAATCACTTCAGTGTATATGTGCATCAAAATATCATGTTGTGCTGGGTGTGGTGGTGCATGTCTTTAATCCCAGCACTTGGAAGGCAGAGGCAGGTGGGTCTCTGTCAGTTCAAGGCCAGCCTGGTCTACATAGTGAGTTCCAGGCTAGCTGGGGCTACAAGGAAGACTCTGTCTCAAAATAAATAAATACATAAAAAGACCCAAAACAAGCACATCAGGTTGTATATGCTAAAATACATACCATTATTTTTTTAACTTTTTCTTAGATTTTATTTATTTCTTATTTTATGTGTATGTGTGTATTGCCTGCATGTAGGTAAGTGCACCCATATTGTACAATGCCCACAGAGGACAGAAGAGGCTGTCGGATCCCCTGGGACTGGAGTTACGGACAGTTGTTAGCTGCCATGTGGGTGCTGGGATTCGAACCGGGTCTTCCACAAGGACAACCAGTGTTTTTAACTGCTGAGCCATCTGTCCAGCCCCACATACCGTTATTTTATTTGTCAATCATCCATCAGTAAAGTAGGAAAAAAATGAACAATGATGAACTAGTGATCTATAAAAATTATTATTACTATTACTGTGAGGTAAGCTTTATTATAGACACCTGAATGTAAATAAGAATACTAACAGTAATAACAACAACTACAAGAAAAATCTAACATTTAGGCAAAATGTCCCATGTGTCATGCATTCTGTTTAAGTTACTTCATTTCATCCTCACAATCACTCTGCAAAGAAGGTTCTGTAACCCCGTATTGACTTGGTTCAAGCTACACTGCTAGTTAATCCCCCAGAGCTGGGATTCAAGTCCAAATCCTCCTGGCTTTTTCCTGTAAAATGTCTGTTAATGGTGGCGTGTGTGTGCACCATCACACCCAGACATTTGATCTGCTGTTTGTTCTGTGTTCTTAGCCACAAGGCAATGTTGAAGAACCTCGTAACTCCATATCCACTCACCACACTTGGGCAGGTCTGTGGGGATGTGTGTCCTGTGCCCGGTGGCAGCAGGGATCCAGTGTTACAGTTTTAGACATTGTTTTCCTTGAAAACACCATGCAGCTGAGCCTTGTTCCATTTCCAACCACAGGCATGTCGTTCAGACAGAGTGAGACAGCTTTCTGTGTGTAACACAAGAACTCTGTATTCTCTAGAGTAGAACACTCCAGAATTTTGCAAGTTGCTTTACAAGCCTGAAGAAGATGGTGTTGAAGACAATTTTATGAAATGCCATCTCCTTTCCCCCAGCCTGCAAGTCAATCCAAGGGCAACTGTCATTTGCACAACAGTTATCACTGTGACCAAGTCTTCTTTATAAAAAGTTCTGGGGTTGGAGATGTAACACAGTGATAAAGTGATTGCTTCACATGAATGAGGCCATGGGTAGATCACTAATATCCCTTTCTATTCTATTATCACTATTATTATTAATCAAGCGGCTTATAGAGTTTACTTGGTATCTAAAGCAAAAACCCATTTGTCTGTTTGAACTTCGAATATTTCAGTCTTGAATTTTTATCCAATATAAGTATACTTGTAATGAAATCAATTAAAGAGGAATATTTGGCTGTTTTTTGAAAACAAAAGCCTAAACACAACCATCCGACTTCTCCCATAAGAGTCTTGTTTTCAGTGAAAACAGAGTTCTGAGGGCTGGCATGTGTTAGAGTGGTGTGTATATAGTCAAAACATACTAGATCAGCTCCGATGTGAGTTCTGGAAAGGTTCTGATTATTTATGTGGCATCAAATATTTTAGAGGCTTTATAGGAAATATCTCAGCTAATCTTATCCATATCTCTGCCAAGCAGATGTTATGAACTTTATTTTTACAGAAAAGCAAACTGATGCTAAAATAGGCAAAGTTATTTGTTATGTGACTGTTAAGTGGTAGAACCAGGGTTTGCACCAAGCACTGGCTGGTTCCCAAATTCTAAGTTCCTATTGGTATCCTGTTATATATGTATGAATGAGTGCCTGTCTTCTATCTTGTTTGTAGCTCCTTATTGTAACGATTTGATGAAGAACTTGGAGTCTAGTCCTCTTTCTCGAATTATTTGGAAAGCACTGAAGCCATTGCTTGTTGGAAAGATTCTATATACACCTGACACTCCAGCCACGAGGCAGGTCATGGCCGAAGTAAGCTTCCCAGACCCTGGACTCTATGATTCTTCTAGACTTAGAGGAAGGAAGTAAAGGCAGCTTCTGATGGAGTGTGCTAAGTATGCTCATGGCCCTTCCAGTACCTCTAAGAGTGAAAAAACCCTTCGTGTTGTCTTGGGGCCAGGTACTCAGCAATGAGTATTTGAATTATAGCTACAGATTGGCATTTCTGGGGGTTGGAGGAGGACTGGCCAAGGACTGCTGTGATGGTAGCTTTTCAGGGAACCCTGGAGTGCTCACTGTCTCTGTCTCTCCTCTCTTTTTCCGTGGCCCCTGGCTCGCTGCCTGACTCTAGGTGAATAAGACCTTTCAGGAATTGGCTGTGTTCCATGACCTGGAAGGCATGTGGGAGGAACTCAGTCCCAAGATTTGGACCTTCATGGAGAACAGCCAAGAGATGGACCTTGTCCGGGTGAGTGTATCTAGTTACTCTACTAGCTTGATATGGAAGAGGCTTCTGAACGCCTTCCCCAAAATATGTGAGATGACAGTTCTGTAAGTTTAACCCATTGAGATGTCATGAGATTAGCTCAAGTCACGAAGCCACTGCCTCTCAAGAAACAAAGACCATGGTGCAGCCATAGCCCTGGCACATCAGCATTAGTGTCTCTCATGCCCAAAGAAGATTTTGTTCAAACCTAGTGAAGAGCAAAGGTAGAGTTTGGTGATTGCAGGAGCCTGACTGTTTTCATTCTGGTTTTAGTTACTGGCCTTTCAGCAGCATCTTCTTTTGCCTTTCCAGGTTCTAGTAGGTCTTGGAAGTAGGTATGGGACAAGAGCACAGTCTGGCATGCAGACAGGTCAGAGATGCTGGTTTCCCAGGCACGGGGTGAATGCAGCATGGTTGCTGCAGTGTGAAGGGAGCTGTGCTCAGTATGCCAGAGCCACTTGAAAGGGATGAGTGCTCTAGAGACAGTCGTGTTCAAAAGCAGGGCAATCTGAGAACAGAATGCCTCCTTTGCGTGAGCCCAAGAGCTATGCAATCATATCATCCCTGTCTCTGACTGTCAGAATCATTAGGCTATTTCCTGTTGCCATAGTGAGTGAGGCCACTTTCTTTTATCTCTGCTGCTATTAAGAAGTAAAGGAGGATTTTTGTCAGGTTTCTTGTCTTGAACCTTTTTTTCCCTAAGAGGTGCTGGGTTTTAGAGACTGTACCTATCTAGAGGGAACTCTTTGGAAGTTTAGGACTACCCCAAGTCCCCTGGGGGACAGGTTACTGATGTAGATGCCTCTGGTAGAAGAAACCAGAACTCCCTGTGATGCGCCAGTTCTTTTACTTCTGTGCAGAATTCTTTTTTTTTTTTTAAGATTTGTTTTATATGTATGTGCATGTTCTACTTGCTTGTATGCATGTGTGTGCCTAGTGCCCGTAGAGTCTAGAAGAGGACGTCAGATCTGAATCTGAAATTATAGACAGTTGTGAGACACCTTGCAGGTGCTGGAAACCAAACCCGGGTCCTTGGCAAGAGTAGTAAGCACTCTTAATTGCTGAGGCATCTCTCCAGCTCCCTGTGCAAAATTCTTAAGTTGGAGCTGTTACACACAGGGAACTTGGGTCAGAAAAGCAAGAGCCACAGTTCGTATGCATTCATGCTGTGTCATGGAACGAGTTCACATCCTTGGTGTGTGGCTGTCTATGGTACTCCAGTCTTTTCCCTATAAGGGATTCATGTGATATACCCACAGACAACACCATACACTTAGCATATACTCCCAGGCCTCATCTTCCTGGTCTCCTGGGAATTCATAATTCTATGACTTGAACTTATTCTCTGTTTGCTGTTGTAAAGGGGCTCAGTATGCTTTAATTTAATATGTGTGTAAATAAGTAGACATTTCCGTGCCTTTTTTTAAACATCATCTCATAGTGAGTGTAGCTCATACTTGCTTAAAACTCACTATGTAGCCCAGGATGACTTCAAACTCATGTCAGTCTTTCTGTTTCAGTTTCCCCCAGTCCTAGAATCACATGTCTGAGCTGACATTCCCGGCATTCCTTGCTGTTAAATCAAGAGTTTGCCTTGGAAACTCCACCTGCTCATAAACTCTCCTTCTTAAGGGATAAACCCTTGTAAACATAGCAGTGGTGGCCACTAGAGACATCTCTAGGAGAATTCTGGGTGTGTGTTAGAAAGTGGAGGAACAGACACAGGAAGGAAAGGCATAAAGCCTTGGAGGGTCTGTGTGTCAAGCTGTGGCTCTTTCAGGTTGGAGGAGAGGTGTTAGAGGTTTTAAGCAAGGGGAGATGTAGATGCACTCCTTTGGGTGACAAATGGATGAAAGGCAGAGAGACCAGAGTAGACGCTGTATGAATGAGTAGCAAAGGCCTAACTTGGTAGTAGAAAGGCAAAAAGAGGAAACTACTGGGGTGAGTCTTGATTTCTACCTGCCTTAGCCCCTTCTTTCTTCTCAGATTTAAGGACTATTATTTTAAGCTGCCAGTTTGGGCTTGTCAGTCCTCAGGAAACCCTGTAGCCTGGAGTCTAGTATGGCAATGGCCGAACCTTCTGCTCTGCTGGCATAGCTCTTATTTCTCTGCTGCCTCTGGCTCTCTCTGCCCTTGTTGTTCATCCTACAGATCTGGAGACACTTCTCTGTAGAGTCACGGAACCTCAGACACTGACATTGTCCTTTTTTCTGACCTGGACACGATCCCTCATCTCCATGCCTTGCTTTCTCCCTGCTTTGCACTCCATGTGAAATCTCAGATCTCCTGTTCCTCTTAGGCCCCCTAGAGCTTCCACATGGTCGGGGATCTCACTGGGTACATCCCTCTGGTCTGGCTGTCCTCTGGCCATATTGCTTGGAAGCCACCCTGTGCAGGGCAGGTTTCTCTCCCTCTCTCTGAATCTATTTGTTTATTCACTTCAAGTTTCCAAATGAAAAAGTTTCAGAATTGATAACCCATGCCTCTGTGAACTTTCATGAGGTGCAGTTTTGCATCTATTAACAAAAAATACTCATATACTTTACTGATGGGAGTATAAGTTTTTATTCCCTCATGGGAAGCAATTTGGTATGGAAGTTTCAGGAACCATAAAGAATGTGTCATCTCCTGTACCTTGATGGGAGTATAAGTTTTTATTCCCTCATGGGAAGCAATTTGGTATGGAAGTTTCAGGAACCATAAAGAATGTGTCATCTCCTGTACCTTCATTCCACATGCCCCCAGGGATGCATCGTACAGAAGTAAGTTTTAAATGCATCACCATGGGAGAGAAAATGTTACTACTGTAGTAATTGTTATTGTAAGAAACTGGAGTTAGACTAAATGCTCAGTAGTACAGGAATAGTTAAATTATTATATA